TCATCATCCATTCATTCCACATCTCTCGCCATTCCGCTGGTCTCCTCAGCCCCTCGCACTCTAACTCTCGTCCGGTGGTCCGCATCCGTTCTTTCACTCGCATTCATCCTTTCAGCGACCAATAGTTTGCGTACTATAGTTTGAGAAATGCTGATCTAGTCGATTCCTCCCCAACGGAATGGCACAGTATCAGGAGCACTAACTCAATCTTCACTATCTTTCTTTAAATATTTAAATAGTTAAAGAACTATTCTTGCCTATGGCCTACGAACTGATTCTCCGGGTTTAACCGCGGATTAACGCTGAATTGACGATATGAAAGTTGATGGTGGTGGTGGTGGTGCACACACAGCATCGGAACATTGAAAAATCAAGAAAGAAACATTGAAGTCAGCAGTGTTGTTGCGGAGAGCAAGCGGACCAGCGGAGAGCAGCTCGGTGGGCACAGTGCCTGGACCTGAGCGTAAGTCTTAGACTTTGCTCGAGATCGGTCGAAGTGAAAGTAAAGCCTAGAGAGAAATACGAATGGAATCAAACCCCGCGCCGTGGCCGAATTCGCCTATCCAGCGTTTGACATGACGTTAACTTATGTAAGGTAAGGCCTAACGGTAAACAGTAATTACGGAATCCCATCGACTCATGAACTAAATATACGGAACGATCACGTTATCGATTAACTCTCCTAATTCTCTCTGAGGACAGTTGTCCAGGTTGGAAGGTAATCCAACAAGGCAATGATTGCGGCTTTTGGAGTGGAAACTTCGCCATCATCTTACCTTGTAATCTGACCTTCAATGGGCATCAATGTTTCATGAAGTGAGCAGGGGAAGACACAGCAGGTGTCACATCCGAAGAAAACGACCGATCCGTCAGGAAAACGGTCGATTTCAATGATGGAATACCGTGACGATCGGGAGACGTGTCGACTACTCTTTCCGAGCAGCATACCTCGTATCGATGAGCGTGTCTGGAGTTTATAATGTCGGAAATCCCACGGAATATGACCTGCTCGACCTCTGTTTTTTCTTGATTTCTGCTCGCCTGCGAGATCCAACCGGAAGGGTTTTCGTATTTCCATCGCGATCCTCTTCTCCTCCATTCCCGAGTATTCGAGAAGGAATACATAAAAATACGAAAGCGACCGGGGTTCCTACATCAGAGCGACTGGGCAACCTGGGCATGGACGATATCCATTATGCAGGAAACGTACGAAGGTGAACGGGTTGTTTGTCCCATCGATCGAACCTCCTTTACGCGAAAACCGCACGAAAGCCAGCGCAACTCACAGTTGGCTGTCTTATTCATGGACATAGGGCAAAATTCTTATTCATAGGGCAAAATGAGGCGATATAGCGGCTCTATATTCTCATGCGGCCGGAGTTTCCGTCGCAATGGTGAGGCTGAGGCCGGCGCGATTTGTTCAGATTCGCTGAAAACCCGGTGAAGGTTGGGTCGTTCGGGATTCGGCTCATCGATGACGTCTCGGATGAGAAAGGGTTTTTCTGTGACATCTGTAAATTTGCATATATGATGAATTTATGGATAACAATTTGAAATAGCAATGATCGTTTCGACTTAAATGTTTCATCGTAATCTCCGTTCTGTGGCCTTAGTAAAAAAGGCATTTTCATTTATTTTTCATTATTTATCATTCATTATTGTTTCCGTTCTTCGACCTTCTTAAGAATATGAACCTGAGGAAACGAGAGAAAGCGTCTGTTCGTAATTTGTGGTTGTTTCGCTGCGGTCTCTGCTCTGCGAACTTCGTAAATAGCAATATCATGAAGACACGGGAAACATGTGGAAAATCATTACTTTGCACTTTTTAGATATTTCATTCGTGTTTCTGTTCTTTGACCTATTTTCATAGGTCACAGGCCCTATTAAGAAGAAAAACTTGGTAGTACGATATTTGGAGGAGTTCCCTGTTTCGCCCCACAGGGCATATCGCCGCAATTTTTAGAATTGTCGAGCGAAAAAACCGCTACTGATTTCGCGCTGAAGATAAATCCTAGTTGTAGAGAAGAGTTGAAAGGTACCGCATACCAATCCGCAACCTGCTATGCCAATTCCTTGGTGCTAAATGTCAATTTTTTCGAACTTGCCCCATTTTGCCCCACCCTCCCCAAGGAGGGTGGGGCAAAGAGGAAGCAGAGCTTATGACTCCGCGTCGGAGGTCGCTTCGCGATGAGCCTTCGCCGGGGATAGAAGACGGAGGCTTGCCGACGGAAAGTCGTGGCAGCGGATGGAGGAGAAACTTTTTTTTCATGAACGGCTCTTCAGTTGGGACATGAGGTGAGAAACCATTAAGTCGTATCAACACTCATGAGATTGGTGGTTCCGTAGAAATGTCATAAATATTTTTTTTTTTCTGCAATGAATTCCTAGGAATTCAATGCAAAAAATTCATTGCATTCTTAGTTAAGGAAGAATGATGAGGCCGAGAGCGAAAATAATGGAAAAATGTGTTCTTGGAAATACTTGAATCCGAGCGGTAACCCAATCCAATGACCTGCCATTCGATCATTTGCTCCTTCTGGAGGATTTTTGACACCTACATTCTAAAACATAACGGTTCGAATCGGAACCGTTTCTGGTTCTTGATTGAAACGAAATCAAGGAAAAACGAGTTGGAACTAAATTAACAAAAAAAAATTAAATAAAATAAACAATTAGGATCTCAGGCATTCGACAATGCAGATATTCAACGCTAAAATATGATAAACATATATTATATGATAAAAAATATAATATAAAACATTTGCTCAACCCCTCAGACGAATAAGCAAATTTAGTGGAAAATGTTGTCGACCCTTTCGACCTAACTGCATAAATCCAGCAGAGAATATGCAGATCCCGCCCTGGAAGATCCGAATCTGGATTTAACAAAAGAGAAGAAAAAATTACTGCTTTCTTTCTCGATTCATTACTGATAGTTCTCATTTTCTTGTCCTCTCATTTTCTTGTCCTCTCATTTTCTTGTCCTCTCATTTACTCGGCGTGAGTCTCTTACGTGGATACAGAGGGTTCGTCGGAGTCCATTCATCAAATATGCAACCGTTTCAGACGGTTGCAACACAGGTCGATGAGGAAAAAACCTTTGCAAAAAGCGTGATTTGAATAGTGTATCGTTCAAAATGCGCCTCAGAATCTGTTTTGTTCTGTTCTTCACCGCGTAATAATCAAAATCCGTCCCCATGCCGATCCCCCAAGCCCACTTCTCTTCTTCCACGCCATACGAGAGGCGCGTTTTCCCTTAATAAAAAGACTCCCGTCTGAAACTTTTCCAACTTTCTTAGGTGGAAATAATAGGTTTCGCGGTGTCCCTGCAATTTTGCTCTAAGAATAGAATGTTTTTTTTTGGGGGGGGGAGGGAGACAGCTTATCCATTATACCCTTCCGCCTCCTCCCCCCTCTTTTTCTGTCAGCACTTCATGTGAGTGAATGTTACCTTCATGGGACACATGAGGCGTAACATTGACTCACATGGAGTGCTCGCCCATTTACATGGTATCGATGGACACGTGGCGACTACTTTCAATTATTCATGACTGTCGGTATATCCGTGACTCTAGGTTAAGACACGAAGGTAAACATTCGTCCATGTTAACATGCCGATTCTAGATCTAGGCCTTATTTCAGGCGGAGATGTATTTTTCCTTTTTGGATACGCATATTTCTCAGGCATCGTACCCGGCGGACACTTTACTCATCGCCAAAAAAATATCCGAGCAAGAATGAGCTGAGGACTTTCAGTCGAATGTATCGAACAATCACGTCATAGGGAAGAATTAAATTAAATTATGGATATTCGCGGAAAGAGCACTCATTAGAGCAATGCTCTCATGGTGGCTACGGCGGGAAAGTAATAGTCATAAATAATATTTAGTAATAATATTAAATTGACCATTTCGGGCACTATTTTTTGTTAATCGACCTCTATATGGGAAATATATATAGCCGGCTGGCCGACCGATTGGTGCCTGAATGGATTAAATAATACCTACCGGATAAACTCCTAATTTTTTTTGTTAAAGCTACAAAAGTACCTAGGTTGGGTTGCAACCGAGGACCGGAGGTTAAACATACAGTATAGCTAACCGCTACCTAAGCCGATTGAAAAAAGTGCGTTCGTGTGTGTGTGTGTTTGTGTGTGTATTTGTGAGTGTCCAAGCTCTAAAAGGCCAAACGCTTGAAGATATGAACTTGTGGTTTTAACAGAAAACTTCCTAAGTATCCGAGGATTTGCCTTTGCGAAATGAAATTTGCTAATCTGCCTTAAGTAAGGGAGGGGAGGAAATTTTCATGGGAAATTGCTCTCGTTTCGTCATCTTTCGGATTTACGTGGAAACGAAGTTTTCCGCGGTTCTCGAAAGGGAACGCTGGCATCGCTCGCCGCAGTGCTTCTCGCAAACTGCCTTGAATCCAGGGATTTCAGGAGTCCATGATGAAATACGGGGCGATTCCTCAGTTCGTTGCCTCATGGGCTCACACGGGCTTCCGAAAAAAACCCATCGCCCTAATTTCCTCTGATGGCTCGAAATGCAGATTTGCTGAGTTGCTTGATGACGGGCTCTTTCGTAAATTTTCGCACCATATTCATTCTTTCAAAATGCTCACGAACAGCGCAAGGAAGTTTCCTAGCGCGAGGGTTCTTCAAAGGTTCGGATGGCTTTCTCGTATCGAAGTCTCATTGGTAGATGGCTTAAAAAGGGCGTGAGGTATGGCAGCCGGGAGCATCCAAAAAAAAACAAACAAGACGGTGATTTGCCTATCGTCGCTGTGGTGTGTGTCGCATATTCCGTCTTCTGACGGTTGTCTGATCTTAGACCGGGACTGGCCCATATTCGGGTCTTCAGCTTGGAAAATTCTCCTGGCCCAATTTAAATTTTTTTTACTGAGAGTACAACTAATGGATCTAAGTAAAGGAGCAAACAATAGGACCCGAGTTCATTTAACACATGCCGTGAATGAACTGATGCCCCTCCTGGACAGAAAAATGTGATTGAATATTTCATTTATTGAGGGAGACGGGAGACACAGAAAAGGAGTTAAAGAAAAAAAGGATAGAGAAGAAATCCTGGAAGCGAGCGTTCAGCGTTTTCCTCATCCTCGTCTCACAGAGCCTGCAGCAAATATCCAATGAAATGGGTATATATTCTACCCGCGCCTCCATAGACATCTCCGTAGTCGAGGTAGACGTCGACTTGGTCGTTCCTGCTGAGCTGGAGAATGACGGATTGACCGACCATGTCGAAATCGGCGTCCATGGTCCCACTGTATTTCCGGATTTCCGCTTTCCTAGCCCCATTTTGCCTGATGTACACGAGAAAGTCCGTTCCGTGATCGCCGTTAAAACAATGAAACTGGAAGGCATAGATACCCGCGATCGGTGCGGTAAAAATTCCAGTCGAGAGTTGCAGTGCGTTGCCAATGTTCACGTTCGAAGATTCGTATTTAATTACTGAGGCTGGAGTGTTATAATTATTGGTTCTGTATGCGTCGAAGATGGCCCCTCCAGATTGAATGGTAGCGCCGGTTTCCACCTGAAAATCCGGATCCGTCTCCTCCAAATCCATCCGGCAAAGAACGACCTCAAACCGGCCGTTTTCCTTGTTGATCAGATGATAACCGGAGCGCGTGTTTCCATCCCGGCGAATAGACGAGCACGACGTTTCGGGATTCTCCGATCGAGCCGCCTCGCCCCTGCAAGTCAATCCACCCAGAGTATGCGTCGCCCTCTCGCCCTCGGACTCCCCAAACCGGATCTCGGTGATGGGCAGCGCTGCGACGTCGGCGATGACTCCGGTGTCGGATTCCCAGCCGGGTGCCTCCGCGTCGGGGCTCCAGCGATCCGAGCAGTCGCCGTGAAGCCCGCAGTTGCACGTGTGTTCTCCCGCGTTCGCTCCGTTCCAGTCGTGCTGAGGTCGGCCGTGACGATCGATCCACCAAGAATGTGGCATCTCGTCGTTCTTTCCGCCGGCCGAGAAACATCCGTACTGAAATGATGAACGGAGCGAACGATGGACAAGACTCTCCCCAACGGGACGCGTTCCATTTTAGATAAAACTTTCCAGAAGAGAGAAATGGACGCTTTCGACTAACGATCATTTGCTGTTCGCATGACTCCGACTGATCCATCAAAGAGACGATCTGCTTCAGGGATGCTTCGTAGGTGACCTTTCGACCATAGCAGCCCGGATGACTGCAGCGATCTACCTCCTTGGTTTCCATGGAGTCGTGCAGAACGATTGTGGCCACCGGATCTAAGAAAAGCCATTCACAGTTCACCGCGTGGATTCCTTCCTAGGATGACTTTCATTTTCGCAGTAGGGCTCCCATAATCGAATGGCTGATGTATATTCTACACTGACCTGTTTCCATGTCACAGAATACTTTGATGGGTGGATCACCGATAAGTGCCCCGTCTGGGTCAACCTGGTAAGTTCCCGTCTTCGAAACTCCCAAAT